GCGCGCCTCGCTCGCGCCGCCGGTGACGTCACGGCGAAGCCCCGCCCCCGGCGGGCGGCCCCGCCCCTTCCGCGCCGCCCTTAAGGAGGCTCCGCGCGCGCGGCTCACACGTGCGCTGAGCTGCGCGCGGGCTCCGCGCGGGGAGGCGGTCGGGCACCCGGGGCGCCCCCTGGAAGGGCGGGGAAAATGGGAGAAATGCGGGCATTTGGGGGCCTGGGCATGCGAAAAAATGCGTTTGGGAAAATGCTGGCCGGATGATGGCTTGAAAGAGCAGCTGCCTCGTGCTGCTGGTAAGGAAAAAAGGAAGCAGTCCTAAAAGTGGCTTAATCCGGGGGTTTTGCCTAATTGTCTTGTGGGAAAGGTCTCATTTATTGTCCTCACTCCAAGCAGCTATATTGGGGGGGTGGAAATGAAACAGTGGCAGAGCAGTTGCCACTGTCACTGTCACCAGGGAGCACACCTGGGCAGCGCCCTGGGGAAGCCCTCGGTGCAGAGCGAGGGGACAGCGGCCCGAGCCAGGGTCCTGCGGGGATGCCCACCTCTCCGTCTGCACCCGCTTATTTCCCGCTCTCTGGGTGGCAGGGACTCCTCCACACCCCCTGAGGTGACACGCGCAGTGTGCGGATCCCTGGAGCCGCCTCGCCTGGCTCTCCCTTCCTCCCTCCCTTGTCATCCCTCTCTCTTTCCCTCCTTCCCTCCCTCCCCATTGGCACCAAGGTGAGCCCTGTGCAAGTCCCTGCTGGGTCCCTGGGTGCCAGAAAGAGGGTCGTGGTGGGTCCCTGGTAAGTCCCTCGTAGGTCTGTAGTAAGATCCACATTAGATCCATAGAGAATCCATGCTAGGCAGTGGCAGCTCCATGGTGGATCCATGGCAGGTCCTTGAAGGATACACAGCTGATCCATAGCAGGTCTGTAGCGGTCAGGGCAGGTCTGTGCTGTGTCCATGGTAGCCAGTGGAGGTGTTTGTGGGGTCCCCAGCAGACCCATAGCGGATCCATGGAGGGTCTACAGAAGATCTATGGCAGCTCTGCGGTGGGTCCACAGCAGATCCATGGCTGTTCATGGCAGGTTCAGAGAGGGTCTGTAGAGGGTCTAGGGAAGATCCATGGCAGCTCCACGGCAGGTCAGCGGTGGCTCCACGGCAGGTCTATGGTGTGTCCATAGAGGGCCCAGGGAGGATCCATGGCAGGTCCATGGCGACTCCTCGGAAGTCAATGACAGGTCCGTGGTGGCTCCATGGTAGGTCCATGGCAACTCCTCGGAAGTCAATGACAGGTCCGTGGTGGCTCCATGGCAGGACCATGGCGACTCCTCGGAAGTCAATGACAGGTCCATGGCAGCTCCTCGGCAGCCCCATGGCAGTCAATGGCAGGTCTGTGGTGGGTGCACAGCAGGTCTGTGATGCTCCACGGCAGCTCCGTGGTGGCTCCGTGGCTGCTCCATGGTGGTGCTGCAGAGCAGCCCCCCTGCCCCGCTCCTACGCGCCTGCGGAAGCCCCCAGCCCCACGTGAGGCCCCTTCGGCCTGCGGGGCCGCCCCGTGACAACCGGGGCTCCCGGGGCGTCCCGTCCCGCGCCCCGTCCGTGGGGCTGCAGCCGCGCGCGGCCAGGGCGCCCCCCAGCGACGTGGGACCCCCCGGTCCAACCGGAGACCCCTCCGGTGCCGCGCGGGAT